ACACAGGAATCATACCAAGGAAAATTTTCCCTCTAGGTCCTGTGTGGTACATGGTGTAACAGCTAGTCACAAAAAATGATATCTACATGTACCTATTCTTATATTTGGAGTTTACCTTTATTACAAAACTGTTTTGTCAGATAAGCAGAAAGCACTACATGATGTAGCATTTGATTACAGAAGTTAGAAATTTTTTGAGGGGAAACATTTTGATTACTGCTGTCAAGCTTGCCTCTCTCTTGCATACGGGCATTAACTTTTATTCTATATTGTTTATGCTGTGATGGTATCTGAAAGTGCCATTGAGTCTGGCAGCAGAAGGGGAGACTAATGGAGGTGATGTTACCGTGGAGCTGGTCCTAGACGCTATTCCAAACAAACAGTTAATTTCAGTCTTGGCACGCGTGTATTGCTACTGCCATTCATGTGTGTGTTCTTGGTCAGCTACAACAGACAGAATTCAGAGTTTTGACAGACAGAAATCTGCCTAATGACAGACTGCTCTTACTGCAACATTTGTATCTTGACTACTAATGTAAACAGTCTTGGTCTACACCAACTTCAATAAAAAACGTGTTACTTATGCTAGGCATGCATTTAGCCACCCTTGTATGCACAGCCATGCCAGACTCTATGACCATACCTCAGAGCTGGTTTGGTTTTGAGGTTACAGAGTTTTTGTTTTCTTGTTTTTTACCTGGAACGGGAAAGAAGGAGAAGATGCGCAAAGGAACGACACACAGCTCTGCAAAAGCGAAGTCTACTCCAATTATGTCAACTAAAATCTTCTCTGACACGTTTGGCGTCCAAAACATCACAAAACAGAGCTAGGAAGAAAAAAATTAAGAAATGTTTGTATTTCAGAAGGGAAGCAGAACAAAGGATAGGCCCTCCTGGTCTAAAACATTTGTTTTCTCTACTGATGGGTATTTTTGGTATTAAATGAAGGAAGAAGATGCATACAAAGTAATAAAAATATGTTTGCTTTTCTACAGTGTTCAGGGATCTGTAGTATGCAACGATTAAGGTTTCAATCATCACTAAGGCAGGCATATTTTATGATTAACTTTAATCACTTTATTTAACCGTTCTCCTATGTTTCTGCCTCTTTGCACACAGAGAAAGAAAGTAACAAAACTTACACGTTAAGCGATAGTCCTGACTCAACAGTTTATGAAGCAGTCATAAAAAAATACCACACACGCATGCAAACCTAACAGAATTATCTGTTCTCTGGGCTTGGATTCTAACAATTCAAATGTGACGGTTCAGTCTGACTGTAATCAGGAAGAAATTGGAGGGAAGGTTTTAAAACGCAACCACCAACAGTTCTTGTCTTTGACTCTAAGTCGAGGATGCTGAATGCTCCAAAAGGCATGACCAATTTTGTTGTTCTCAGTAAAGAGTGAAGAACAGATTCTCACTTCTCTCAAATCAATCAATCAAAAATATTGGAAAAGAAACAATCACAAGCAAAGTTCATACACACAGTCAGAATTAATTTCCTTTACTTTGAGAAACTTATTCAAAGCACTGTTTTGCAACAATTTATAGACGTTTTAAAATATTTACATGCAGTAAAACTCTAGTGTACCGATAGTATATTTATACTCAGCTTGCATGCAAATACACAGAGTAGACAATTAAAAGAAGCAGGTTAACTTCAGAAGCAATTCTTACTCTTCATGTTCCTCACATGCCAAGACTGACGCATATAAAAAGAATTTTTATGGTGCCTAAAAATGGTTGCACTTGAATGGTCTAATTGTTACAAAACCAGTAAGAAACTTGATTTTTACAGTACTGGCTCTGGTTAAGACACCCGTATTCCTACAGATTATCAAATGTTTTAATAACTAAAGATCTGAAGTACTCTAAGACCCAGAGATCTAACCTAAATCTAAGATGAGGGGTTTAAACGCGCTGCTACTAGTACTGTTGGTATGTAATATGCCTGATACCAAGGCAAAGGTCTTCAGCATGTTCCTGCAGACACGGTGCCCTCAGGCCACAAATCCACCAAGTCTTGTTATTTTAAAGAGTGTGCTGTTTAGTCCATACATGAAAGGAAAACTTCCATAAAAATCCTGCAAGACATGGTACAGCAGTCATACATGATTTTTTGGCCAGTCCTGAGGCAGGGCTTCAGCCTGGGCTGAGGGGGCTCTTGCCAGCTGGCAGGTCCAGCTTCAGCTCAAGGCACTCACCGAAGAACAGGGCTGACAGCCCTTACAGGACTTTTCCTGTAAGAAGGGATACCAGACATCCTTTCAAGTATAACTACTTTGTCATTTAGCTTGGTTTTGTGATTTAAAAAGTGATTTCTTCCTGTTATTCTCACAGTAAAGCAGATGTTAAGGAAGCACGCTGACTGAACGGGGCAAAACTTGGGACTTTAAATGCTCTGGCACTCCTCTGTCAGGTTACAAACCAGTGTACCCAGTAAATTATACACACTGGCTGGACAATCTGATGGCTCTGTAAGACTCTATAACCGCTCTCTTGTAATTTAGCCTACAAGCTAGCATCATAGTATCTAGCTCTTCTTATTATCCAGTCGTCACATCCCTACATGTTCAGATGGCTTTCAAAGCTCATCTTTGAAGTCCTACCACCTCCAAGACAGCTGGGATTTCACTCTCATTCTTTGGTTGTGTGCCAGAGAGTGTCCTTTCTGCTTAGCCTACGAGTATCCAGACCGTAGAAGTTTCCCAAGGTCCGTGACCAAGTGGCCTGTGGGAGGTCTCGCGTTTTAATAGCCTGTGCGGTGAACAAAACATTTCACCTTCCTGCAAAAAGGCTCATCTTCAGTTTTCTTCTCCAGTTCTTAGGGTAGGAACCACTATATATTTTTCACAATTGAATGTTTTACTTGACTAATTTTATGCTGTCTTGCGGTGTATCTCCATCAGCTATACAGGGAATACTAAGTGCAGGAAGGTAAGAGCAGAAGACAAATGAACTGAGCATGGAGTTTTTTCTGCTTTAGCCAGCACTTCTCTCTCCCTGCCAAACTACTTGTACAGGGTACAACTGAAGCAGGGGGGACAATCTAGAGCAGAGAAGGTTGTGTGGCTGAGAATCCAGTTATTAAAAAGTAACTGTACAGTGACAAAAGCAAATCTTTTCATTGTTGCAGACACCATTAGGCAGACTGCAGTGATTTGTACTCTTACTGCAAATGGCCTGTAAAGCAACCATACAGGGAATATTTTGTCAAATCGTTCTCTAAAGTTCAATAAACAAAATAAGATACAAAGATGTCCACTCTTCAATTATTATAATTTGCTGTTTTCATGGAAGCAAAGACCTTTACACCGCTTGTACTGCACAATGCCGTTAGCACCCTACTGAGCAGTACAGTTACTGCTGCTACAAGATTCCATACATTTATGCTAACAGCAGAGTCTGCCCACTGCTAGCAAAAGGCAAATAGAGCAGTCTCTCCTTCAACAGCTGTTTGAAAGAATATTCTAACATGGTTAGGCAGGCAAGCAAATAAGTGACCAAAAGCATTGTTCTCAATCCTGTTCTCTTTGAAGTTAAAGTTTGTTTCTGGCCTTAAGAAGAACAGACTCAATCTCCATCCAGCTCCTATGGGAGGAAGGTCAGTTATGCAAATCAGAGGTAATGACTTATACCCAGGTGGTATGCAGTCATTCCTCCTCAGCTGTTACAAACTGCAGCCTTCCCCACTCCCCTGATCAGCAGAGTCAGTGCTGATAAATGGCTTCAAAAGAGCACTTCTTATATAGCAGCTGGTGGGTAAAGACAGCAGTGACTGCTAAGCTCAAGAATAAGCAGTTTGAGGAGGTGAGGCATGGCAGCAGAAGGACCTGCTATTTCTGTCTCAGCATGCCTCCATCTTTCGGTTGCAATATTGATATCTAGTTTCATTTCGCAAAGAGATTCCTCTCTGTCATCTTATGAGCAGATAATATTCTCGTTGCCTGCAGGGGACAAAGCCTCAGGAAAAGAAATTAATGCTTTGCATCATGCAAGCCCTTTGCAATTGAACTTCTAGAGCACTTGCAACTTGGGAAGTTTCCATATTATTTCAAAGATAAATTCAAAATGTAGTGGGGGAAAAAAAACAGGCTTTACTTCCGGAAAACAGTAACGCTAAACATGCAAAGGAGGAAAGGTATTTCAGCTACTGATTTTTTTACAGATGGGGTATATTGAAAATAGGATGTAGTTTTAGCTTTTTGTGATGCTGAGTGGTCTGTACAATGTTTGTGATTACCTTGGTAAAGGGTGAAGACTGATCAGAAAAGAGACCGGAGAAGATGGTAACAGATGAAATGATGCAAGTCATCCAGTGAAACAGAGAGCATGGCACACACAACTAGAGATGGGATCTACTGGATAAGCAGTGGTAACTTCTGGGGGCTCAAATCAGGAAAGATTTAAGGAAATAGATTTACCTATAATATGTCTTAGTATGTCTCCTATCTTTCCTTTAGTTAAACACTATTTTCCCCCTCCCTCTTACGTCTTTCTGCATGCGTCTGCAAGGTTAAAAATAGAATAAATAGGCTTGGGTAGGGTTACAGTTATACCTTCGTTTAATCTAATCAAAAGGTGGAGACGAAACAGTAAACGCTTCAGCATAGGCGAGCAACACACATGCATAATGGCATTGCAGCTTCAGGTTGCAATTGCAGTTGGCTGCAATGGCTACATGCCATAATGAACACTGTACTTGGCAACTCTCCTGAGGCTGAAGCATTTTAATGCTTTGGGAGTAAGGATTTTGCTTGTGGAATTCTAGCAACAGAATTGACTCGATTTTCTGCTATCTTATGGTATGAGCGCAGCATGATATTAAAGGATAGTTTTGTTAAAGCCTTTGATCATTTAAACAGAACTTCAGCTGAGCAGTGATGAACATTTTAAAAACACAGGAAAAAAAAAAAAAGAAGATATAAACAGGAGAGTGGAATACTACAGAGAATATGCAGGCCCGAGTAAAGACAGTAGTATTTATTATGGTGGTGTTGTCTCTGTATAAAAAACAGTAGCCTAAGTATTTCTGAAAGTTTTAATCATCTGAACTGATCTGAAGGGTTGTGCTATTGGGTAACATGTCTTTAACTGATCTACAGTAGTAAAATTTGGAAGACTTTATTAAATATGTCAGTAGTTTACAGCAGCATAAGAAAATCAGTACAGCTGTATTAGATCAGGTCAAAGCTCCAGCTCGATTAGTACCCTGCTGAAGGTCACTGGGGGTTGTGTAAGGCAGGGGCACAAAGAGCAGGGCAAGTGCAGAGTAAGAGATGCCCTTCCCCTGCTGCATGGTCTGAGCTGCTGGCAGTTAGGGCTTCAGGTGTTCAGTAACTGTAGCGCACCTTCATCCCATGCAGCATTATGTTGTGCATACGAAGTATCTAATATTAGTCATTTCCCACCCCCCCCCTCCCCCCAATCCAGTTGTGCATTATAAAAAGTCAAAAAACCCTCTCACTTGTGGCTTAGTCACTCTGTAAGTAAGTGTGCTTACTTTCATGGGGAACCTTGCTATGCTCAGCTAGCAAATTCAGCATCTCGGCACATTAAGAGGCAGACATCAAAAACTTCAGCTGTCAACAAGCCTGAAAGAATGCACCAAATCTTTGTTTCAGCAGGGAAAGTATCAAACTGGTAGTGCTCAGTCCAACTCTCTTTAATCCCTTTTCTTCAGCACACCTCATGCATTTGACTTTCACAAATGAGTGTGACGAAAGACTGTTCATGAGATTTTGTTTCAGATGCTGCATGTGTGAGTTTGAATGCTAGTAGTTCTTGAAAACGAACAGTCTTTTCATAGGCTCTGCATCTCCTG